CCCCCTTCCCTCCTCCTCCTCCTCCTCCTCTTCCTCCTCTTCCTCCTCTTTCTCTTCTTCTTTCTTCTCCTTTTCTTTCTTTTCCTGTTCTTCTTCTTCTTCTTCGTATTCTTCATCGCCTCTCTCTTCCGGGATTACGGGAGAATACATATGATGAAAATACGTATTCTAGAAAAAAAGTATATCATAAATTTTTATTCCCGATATTATGTCCTTAATTAATATAGATATTGATTAATATTATGTCTTTTAATTAATATTTTTTTCTCTATCAACTTACAAGGCGAAAACACACGCGGATCGAGAGTACTTACTTCCGTATCTGAAAAATAAAGTTATATTAAGATTTTTTAACTTTTACTATTTGTTTTAGAAATTATTTATTTGAAAATGTAAACTTACCAGAGGAGAGCTGAATAATTTCTCGAGGTGCCTCCTCCTCTAATTCCTGCATTAATTCAATACGTACCCTTCCTAAAACCATTTAATATTTTAATCTTAGAAAATTGCAAAAAATTATATTTTTAATATTATTCCTGTCTAGTTTTTTAGTTATTAGTAAGATATTACTTACGCGCTGGTCCTGCTTCTGGCTCTTTTTTCGCGCGTCGCCTCCGAATCTGCGGAGAGAGAATACACTAACGTAGTGACTCTTTGACAAACATTTCCTTCTACAATTTATTATTAAAAATTAGCTAAACCGAGTTCATTATTCGAGTTATTTATATAGAAATAATAGAACGATGCTTACTTATTATGGAGATGTGAGAGGAGATTTTGGCTCACCCACATCCTCTTTCTCGTGTCCAAATGCACATCGCGTTTCGATTGTTTCTCCAGCAATCCGGAGTAACGCGTGTCGGCACCAAAGAATCCTAACTGATACAATATTCCCCACTCCCAATATTGTATCGAAACATTCGCACAAAAAACGTGTGAAAAGCAAATAATTAGCATCGAGCGAAACTTCAGATATTTTAGATAAAAGTTTTTCCGCGTTTATGCGGGTATTCAGCATCGATGCTAACTTTACACTTTTTCTGATAATTTCACTTCCCATTTTTTCGCACCTTTATTCGCACATACAAAATAATCCCAACACAAACTTTTAAAACTCGCGTGATGAAACCGAAGTGAAGCATGACATTTACAATTAGATATATAGCTTAACGTATTTTTGATGAAATATATTTGTATCAATAGAATTGGGAAGCACTGATACTGAAACAAACATTTTTGTAGTATTCGTTGATTTGTACATTTTCGCCTTTAGAGGTGTGATATTTTCTACATTCAATGTGAGAGAAGCCATAATCTCTTATACAAACTCGCACACATAACAAATAGCACACATAGCAATATACTTTTATAGTTTTATTAATTTTCGTATATTAAGTTCAAGTTAATAAAGCTTTTTTATTGCATATTTGTAATTGACTGCTGAGATAATAATTTCTTTTTTAAAAGTAGAATGCCATATATTAAAGTTTTTTCTTCAATTGTAACATAATTATTCTAAATAAAAATTAAGAATCTGGATTTGAAATTTGGATATGTGGGATTCTCGAATATTTGGATAAGAAATCTAAATCTATCATATATATCATATATATCATATATAATCTGGTTTAGACTTTACTATATAATGAAGATAACAGGAATTTCAAAGAGCAAGCCGCTGAGGGCATTGTGGTGTACATATTTGAAGCATTACTGGGCATTTGAGAATTAATAGAGTATTACTATAGACATTATTGGATCTTTAGACAATATTAATTGTTATTAATTAATATAATTGTTATTAATTAACATTTTTATTTTCTAAAGCAGAAATTTTTTATATTAATTATTTCTGTTATGACATTATATTAAAATATACGTACTATATGTCTATTACACGTTACCAATCATTCAAATAGATGGCGCTATTCGCAATCATGTCTTTAGGTTAGATTCAACATGATCAACAGATAAGAAGGGAGAGTGTGCGTCACGACGGGGCCCGACCACGAACCAGTCGTGAAAACTCGTAATTATTTTGCGAAAAAATATCACCTCAGCCAGGAATCGAACCTGGATCTCCTGCTTACGGGGCAGGCATCTTATTCTTTCGACTACCGAGGCATGTGATGATATTTATCGCAATAACGTGTTTAGAACAACAAGTCAACAATACAATGACATACACACATATACATATATTACAATATATATATATATATATGTATATTTTCTCGAATCCCCACGACCGATACTTACAAAGAGCATTGGACATGTCATGAGAACGTAAGATTTTGTAACGGAGCGTTTTTTTGACACTCGTTACTAAACGCGCGCTATACAGGGGTCACGTCATCCGGGGCCGCCCAACATCCCCGACTGCGACCGAACGATACATGCGCGCCGTTGATCGGTCACGCGCCGACAACATGACAGATCAACTGATCTTTTAAACAATTTTAACAAATCGCGTGTTGACGCGTCAACACAAAAATGGATATATAAACCCGGCAAATTTTGCGAAGAGCATCATCCCGTCCGACTATCCGACCCGTCCGATACTCCGATCCGATCCGACCGATAGTAGTAGTAATACCCGATGAAGGTAATATCAAGCGTTCTCAGTATTTTTTTCTTCCTTACACACGGAAAGTCGGAAGGTTCTCGGACTTTTTCCGCTCCAACCGAAATACCGAAATACTGTTTTCAGTATTCTCATTCCTCTTCCGCCCGGAAAGTCGAAACGTTCTCAGACTTTTCTTCTGTGGAATACCGGGTGTTCGCGGTATTCTCGTTTCCCTCACACACGGAAAGTCGGAGTGTTCTTGAATTTTTTCTCGACGTTTGCGAAAAACACGTGTTGCGAAAGCGTCTAGGGTTGCCTAGCAACTCGTGCGTCCGATCACTCGGCACACGCGGGCCCGGTTGCTGCGCCGCAGATCTACGCACTATACTGCAAGTATACGCGTACGCATTCGATAGCCGACCGCACCACGAATCTCAAGAATTGTAAACCGAACATATGCGAGCGGAGTTACGCCACTGACAACAAGCGACTTATGTCAATGTAATGTTAATCTAATATATTAAAATAAATTATTGTTAATTGTTAATCAAACTGAAGCATCACGGATTCTTCTGTAAACCAAACCTCAGCATCCGACGAGCATATTCGTCCAATCGAATCATGTCCTCGCTTCCGTACCGCACATTATTCGTCCGCGCAGGGATGTACCGTTACAACTTTAATGAGTTATTAATAGAACATATAAGTCACGTTATTAATAGATAATATAATAAAAATATATATTATAGCTCTTTTAATTTATTAAAAATCTAAAAATCTAAAATCTCTTGTTTAAAATTTTATATTTATACATTTTTTTCTAGTTTCGCATATCTAAAATATACGAGCCAATTTAATTGAATATTAAAATAAATTATTCAAAACACATCTAAGAACAAAATAGTGTTGTCATTGCAGTCAACAGTTTATCAAAGTGGTCATAAAAATATAATAATTTTACTATCCGGATTACAAGAATGTAAAGGTAAAATAAGTGTGGACAGACTGCGAAGATTTACCGCCGATGACAGAACATCAACGAAAAGAAAAAGAAATTGCATTCAAATATAACCAAAACAAAAACTGAAATGTTCTGAATCTTCTTGTTTTGAAAATAAGGAAACAGAGCATCCTAATTTAGAAGATGAAAATAAAAATGAGTTGGAAATATTAAATATATCATTAGAAAAATATTACACTGTTTTCTATGACGATAAATACTATATTAGAGATGGTAGAGTTATTGAATGTAATAAAAATAACGTAAAAGTAAAATTCTAAAAATCAGAACTTAATACTTTTATTTGGCCACGTGATGAAGATATAGCAATAGTTGAAAGAAAATTTATTTTTTACAGTCTAATTGAATTAATGGGAAACAGACCCTTTATATTAAAATAGTCAGATTTACTCTCCATAAATAAAAAATATAAATTAATGAAAAACTAAATTATAAAATTTTCAATAATAATTACTCTTATAATACTTTCAATACCCTCTTATAATACTTTCAGTCATACCCAAACTTAAAGCAGATATTTAGAATATATTTTTATGTTTAAATAATATTTATGTATAATATTATATATTTATGTTTATATATTTTATTTTTTATATAATTTTAATTATATAAAAAAATATGATGTTTATTTTATTGTTATAATTAAAAAAAACGTTTTTTATTTTGGTTTGTTATAAAGAATAATTATTTTTTAAAGTTTTAAAAATATATTTATGAAATTTATATCCATGTCTGTTTATAATTTGACTATATATTATAATTTTACTATATATTTGACTATATATATTTGACTATATTTGTAATTACTATTTGTTTACAAAAAATTATAAAATTAGAGCATTATAGAATAATAAAAACATTAATAATAATTAATAGAAACATTTATAATAAATAAAGGTATTATATTTTTATTAATCTAATGTTTTCTAATTTAGCGCGTTTTTAATTTGTAATAATTTA